CCCGCTCGCGGACCGCGCTCCGGGCCAGGCCCCGGTCCCGGGCGAAGGCGCCCAGGTTGTCCACGTGCACGCAGTGGCGGGGGCGGCCCTCGGCCAGCACCAGGGGGGGGGGACCAGTCGCGCAGCAGCGTCGACCCGCGCAGGCTGGGTGCCGCAGCCGCCAGCCGCTCATCAGCCTTCTGGGCGAAGTACAGCGACCAAGCAAACCCCATGCACATGGAGGCGGAGGTGGGCCACGCTGCGTCGGCGGGCTTGAACTGCACTCCGTCCAACTCGCGCAGCCCCAGCACCCGCGCGGGCACCTCCGGCCAGGCGAAGTAGGGCCTGAGCCAGGCAGGGGCCTTGCGGCGGTGGAAGCAGTCCTTCACGTCAGCCGTGCCCAGGTACAGCCTGACACCCTCCAGTCCCGCTAAGACGCCGTCGACAATCTCGATGTTCGCGAAGGCCTCCGAAGTACACAAGCGGGCGCCTGGCGGGGCACGGAACCAACAATTGCTTCTCCGAGCGTCGACGATCAGCCTGAGACGTGTCCTGTTGCTCTTCCAGACGAAGAAGATCCCGATCCTCTCCAAATTCCTGAGGGTGGCACCCAGCATTCCACGATCCCAGAGCCGTCTGACGAGGCCGTGGTAGGCCTTCTTACTGTAAAGCAGCTATCGGTATAGGGTGTGACCTCACGCGTCTCGAATTCGATACTCTCCAAGTCAGTCGCGGGTCGCAGCATCAGCTCATGATGGGCCTGCAAATGGCGAGAGACCTCGGCGTCCAGCAGCGACTCAATCGGAAGGGACCCCGACGCGTCGCTCGGCAGGGGCACCAGGTCGGCGTCGAAGGCCGCGAGGTTCGCGGGGCCAGTCTCCAGCTCGTACAGGGGCCGGCCGTGCAGGAGGTCTCGGAGGGCCTCCCGCCCCGAGAGGGCCTCTGGCATGGGCTCCCAGTCCTTGACCAGGCCTTCCACGCGGGCCATCACATCGGGCGTCAAAACTCCCGGCGTCGCAGGCTCCTGAGAAGAGCCCCAGGTGTCGTGGCCAGCAAGCCAGTTCAGTTCGTGGGCCGCCTCCTGCACCATCTTTGCGCGCCGCCTGGCCTGGCCCCAAGCCTTCTCTGCCGAACGAGTCGAAGTGGCAGGGCCCGCAGGCATGGCAGGACCAGGCAGAGGGAAGAAGCCCCTCCGAGGACGGCCACCTGGGGAAGGAACCCCAGCGCCCCGCGATTGCCCGCCAAGGGAGGGGCGAGCCCCCTTGGCGGCGCTGCCGATCATTGCGGATCGGCGGCAGCGGGCACGAGCCCGCGCCGGCCTCGGCCGCCGCAATCACGCCCCCCGCCGCCGCGACCTCCACGTGCTCCGCGACCTCCAGCGCCAGCCGCGGCGTCGCCCGCGTCGGCGCCCTCCGCCGCCGTAGCGGGGCTGCCGCGGAGCCCCCGCGCGCCACCCTGGCCCAGAGCTGTAACCGCGTCAGCCCGATCCTTAGCCCGCCGCGCAGCAAACGACTGGAGGGCCGGGCTGGCGGGGTTCTCGGGCGTGCCAGTGCCCATGTGCAGCTTGGCGTGCTCCCAGGTGACATTCTGCTTCTGCGGGTTAGCGCGCGCGTCGATGGTGATGTGGACACGACGGCGCAAGGTCTCGACTGATGCGAGGGCTCCAACATCCAATTGATCGTAAACTCTTGCAGGGTACAGAGCACCGCACAGCACCTTCATCTCATGGCATGTCCGATCCGAGCCATCTATCTTGCGTTTCCTCCACCGCGTGAGGAGCCACTGACGAGGGTCGCCGCCGTGGCGGTCGAAGTGCTGCGCCAAGAACAGGGGGGCGCCGGGCCCCTTCCAGAGGCGCGTCCGAGAAAGTCTCCTGAGTACTCTCGCGGGTCACGTCCCGCCAGCACTTGAGCCTCTCCCCCTGATTGTCATAGTCGACCCAGAGCGTGCGAACGTCGGCGGCGGGATCTGCATCCCTGGGGGCGTCCGCGCCGTCGGCCTCCAAGCCCAGCGCGCCCCGCAGCGAGCCATCCGAAGGCCTCAGGCGCCCGTCTCCGCCCTTCGCCGCCTCGGCCTTGCCGGCCTCGGCGGCAGCGGGGTCCGCCAGAAGCGGGGTCGATGTGCCTTCAACGGCCGCGCCGTCTCCAGGCTGCCAGCGAGCGCGCTCCTCGGCCACCGCATCGGGCCCCGCCTCCGGTCGCATCAGCCAGCAGTGGACGTAGGAGGACCCGTCCAGCACCAGCGCATCGTGGTCGCCAGCTGCGACGAAGGCCTGGCCGCGCAGCGCATTTGCGTCGCCCGGCGAGAGCGATTCGCCGAAGCCCATCGCGCACCAGCGAAGGCCTGGCGGAGGCGTGGCGGCGTCCATCGGCGCCGCTGGCGGGGCGGCCGACGGGGGCGGCAGGGGCAACCCACCTCCCTCGGGCCCAGCGGCCGCGGTCCGCTTGCCCCGCGCTCGGCGAGCTGGCGCGGGTCAGTGCGGGATCAGCTCGCTGATCGGCACCATCTTGCCCGTCGGCAGGAGCACGTCGTCCAGCGCAGGGTCGCAAGTCACCGCCGCCCGATATCCACGCTTGATCATGTCCACGAACTCCTCGCGGCCAGGGTACACTTGGAGCCGATAGAGCTTCCTTCCCAGCCAAGCGGGCTTCGAGCCATCGTCTGGCAGCGGGTGCGTCTTGACGATGTCCTCGCCCGCTCCTGCCGCCACAGCCTCTGGGTACTCATCCAAGTCGGGCGTGGCGATAAACCAGACATCCTTCTCGAGAGTGCACGGATGAAGCAGCAATCGCTCGTGGTCCACCACGTCACCTCGGTACTGAACGCCGATCGTCTGGCCCGGCTTCAGCTCACTCCACCACGCCCCGCCGCCCTCGAACATCAGCAGCGACATCGCAGGACGGCCGCCGACTGGCACGCGCCTCGCCGCAGGCCGGCGCCCTCTCTCCGCAGCCCACGCCGCCGCCCGCCAGAGGCCTCCCGCAAGCAAATGCGAGGCCACCTGCTGCGCCACGCCCGTCCCGCCAGCAGTCAGCGCCGGGCAGCTCGGGCAGACTGGGCAGGCTGGCGCCACGGGGCAGTCGGGGCAGCCCCAAGCCTGCGGCACCTCGCAGGCGGGGAGCGGCGGCGGAGGAGCTGGGGCCGCCGCGGGGGCCGGCACCTCGAACTCGAGCAGCTCCACCCCCCAGAGGCCGCCCAGTGCAGCCGCCAGGAGCGCCGTCAGCGCCGAATGGGCCAACCGAGGCCCGGGAGCGCCGACGGGGCCGGGGAGCGCGAGAGGCATCCGCTTTCCGAAACAGCAGACTTGAGAGAGAGACGTTGCGGACGAACCTCGTTTTAAAACACGTCGAGTTTCACGAACCCCCTGAAGATAGTTATGTGCACGCACCCCTTTGATGATTTTGATGATGGTGGCCCATGATGGTGATGGCGATGATGTTGATGTTGGTGTTGGTGTTGATGTTGATGACGGTGATGATGATGTTGATGATGAAGATGGTGGTGGTGCCCCGATAATGATGATGATGGTGATGATGATGATGGTGGCGATGACGATGGTGCCCCGATGATGATGATGTTGATAATGATGAAGTTGTTGATGATGACGATGGTGCCGGCATTATGATGATGCAGGTAATGATAATGTTGCTGATGATGTTGATGCTGATTGTGTTGATGATGCTGTTCATGATGAGGATAAGATGGCATGATGGTGGTGTTCCGATGATGATGGTGTCCCAATGAGGATGGTGTCCCGATGATGATGATGTTGATGATGGTGATGTTGCTGATGATGATGATGGTGTCGAGATGATGATGATGATGATGATGATGATGTTGGTGATGTTGTTCATGATGATGATAAGATGAAATGATGGTGGTGCTCCGATGATGATGGTGTCCCGATGATGATGACGGTGATGATGATGATGCTGGTGCGGATGTTGGTGTCCCGATGATGATGATGATGTTGATGATGAAGGTGATGATGTGATGATCATGGTGTCCCGATGATGATGATGATACTGATGATGATGGTGATGACGTTGATGACGATGATGTTGATGCTGATGATGATGACGTTGATTGTGAGATCGATCGTGATATCGATAGTGAGAGATAGTGAAACCGAATGTGAGATCGATTGTGAGATCGATAGTGAGATCGATGGTGAGATCGACTGTGAGATTGATAATCAGATCGATTGTGAGATCGATCGAATGCAATAGATCGAGTGAGATCGATTGTGAGATCGATCGAATGAGATCGATCGAGCGAGACCGATAGTGCGATCGATAGTGAGATAGATAATGAGACCGATCGGGTGAGACGTTGGTTCCTCCCCCCCCGAACCTCCTTATCACTCGAAGGGTGGTCGTACAGGTATTTTGACTCTATATTCCTCCTGTAGATGGACAAGCCCGACTTAAGACGAGTCCCTGGATGACTTCGGGGAGGCCTCACACGGGCGTTGGCATACCTCCCCGCCTCGTTCCACTAATCGGAACTGCCGTCACCCCGAAAAAACACCAACTACGGCAAACCTGGTTGAGTGATCCTGGCCAATTCAGGGGCTCCGGGGCCCTACCACTAACCAGGTCCCCTTACCTAGGGTCCTGGCCATACCCGACTCACCGCTGGCCTCCAACGCCGAGCCGGCGCAGCCCGACCGAACCTGGCTTCAGGCCGCCTTCTCATCTCATCCCATCTCATCACCCCCTCCCTCCTTTCCTCCTCCTCCTCCTCCTCCTCGTCCTCCTCCTTCCTCCCTAATATTCCTCCCTCCTCTTCCCCCCTCCCCCTCCTCCTCCTCCTCCTCCTCCTCCTCCTCCTCCTCCTCCTCCTTCCTCCTCCTTATCCCTCCCTGATATTCCTCCCTCCTCCTCCCCCTCCCCCTCCCCTCCTCCTCCTCCTCCTCCTCCTCCTCCTCCTCCTCCTCCTCCTCCTCCTCCTCCTCCTCCGCGCCCTCCGCACGCGCACGCGGCCAGCGTTCCCCGCACGGGAAGCGAGACCAAGAGGTCCTCGAACCGGTACCCTTGCTCCCGCCTCTTCGCGTGGACCTTGGACACGCAGTGCGCCTGGGGCGCGGGGGGAGACGTTCGGCTGCACGCAAGAGTGACCCTGGGTAAGAGTGACCTTTGGTGCGCGGCTTTTCGGGGTCCGCGGGGGGGCCAAACACAAGCGCGCAAGACGCCATTGCCGCCTCGCGTTCGGCAATCGGGGGGCCCCATTGGGCCCGCACCAAAGGTCACTCCGGCGAAAGGTCACGCTTACGTCTAGTCGACTGCTCTCCCGCCCTCCCACCGACTACCCGGTCTGCCCGGTGTGTGGGCTTTGCAGGCTGATCCGTAGGCAGCACCAGGGCTGGACCTGAACGTTGTTTTTCGTGTCGTTTTCGCCTTGTGTTTCGTTTTGCTCTACCTGTTGTCATGTACCTCCCTCCCAAAACGAAAAATAAGACACAGCCGAAGTCCAGCAAAACAGCGATCAGGTCCAGCCCTGGGCAGCACTGGCACTGCAGGAACTGATCGAACAGAAGCAAAAGCGAGGGGTGAGCAACCAGCGCCTTGGATAGTGACGGACGGTCCAAGGGGGGCTGGGAAATCCCACGAAACAGCGGTCTGGCGTCGGATGTCTGGGTCCCTCTCCCTCCCTCCACCCTCCCGCTCTCTCTCTGCGCCCCTCCCCCCCCCCCCCTCTCCTCCCTTCTCTCCTCATCTCATCTCGCCCCCGTCCGCGCCCTCCCCACCCCCACGGCCACTCCGCCCCCTGCCTCCTGGCATGGGCAACTCATCCGCGATGGGCCCCCTCCCGATGTGTAGCGAGGCAGCGCCTATCCCGGGTTGGGTGGGGCACCCGAGCACCCCTCGGGGGTCCGGGGGCGATTTCGGGCCAGCGCGGCACACCAGAGGTGTTTACGCGCGACGCTGAGGCTCCCCGGGCGGGCGAGTACGCTGCCGATACCTTCTCCCCATCGGCTGGGTCCCTCCAGATGGGATGGGAATAGGTTAGATCGAGCCGCATCGTCGATACAGCGGCGATGTCGGCACGGAGGTGATCGGGCTCGGGATCGAGACGCATCGGCGGTGCATCAGCGAAGCAGCGGCACCGTCGACCGCGGGGTCCAGAAGATCGGGCTCGGGATCGCGCTGCATCGCCGATGTATGGGCGATGATGCGCGATCCTCCGACCCCATCTACTCTGGTCTACTCTACTATGCGATCCCTTCCCAGCCCTTCCCAGCCCTTCCCTTCCCTTCCCAGCCCTGGTCCACTTTACTATGCCATACCTTCTCTACTCTACTGAATTTCGTTATCGCCAATCGTACTTCTGTGTCCTGGAGTGCGAGCCCCGATGAGGAGCCCCAGGATCTCCTTGACGTCGCCGAGGCTGTCCTTGCCCTTGCCCCTGGCCGTGTCGGAGTCGGCCCGGCTGGCGTGACCGCCAGTGGCCCCCTTGGAGGTCGAACGGCTTGCCGCACATGCACAGGACCGTCTTCTTGGCCTTGTTCAAATGTTGCCACGTATGGCCTGCACTGCGTATAGTATTCGGCCTAACCTAAGGAACGATAAGTAAGGAACGAAGTCCCTGTTTTCCAAGTACGTCTAGGAAGTCCAAAGAAACACCAGGGAGGCTCGCCGCTGAGAAGGTAGCGGAACGCATGCAAACCAAGGGAACGACCGAGCCCCTTTTGAAAAGTAATTGTTCCTTATTCAAGCCGGACCCTGTACGGCATACTGCCTCTTTTTGGGCTGAGCGTGCTGTGCCTGGTAGGCCCACCAACCCATGGATGCTGGACCGCGAGCTGGGAAGCGGGCGCTGGCCCGCGGCTGGCTGGCTGGCCTCCTGGCGGCTTCGAGGATGGTCACGGATGGGCCACAGCTATTCGCTGGTTCTCGGGCGTCTACAGCCCTTCACGACGTTTAGCCTGGAGCCAATATGGCTACGGACAGTCTCAAGGGCTCCTCCTCAACCTCCTCCCCCCCCTCCTCCTCCCCTCCCTCCTCGTCCTCCGCCTCTTCCTTTTCCTCTCCCCCCTCCTCGTCATCCTCCCCGCCTCCTCCGCCTCCTCCTCCTCCTCGTCCTCCTCCGCTTCCGACACCTCCTCCCTGCACCGCCCGCCCCACATCCCGAGCCTGTGGCAAGGTCATCAGCTCGTCGCTGTCGTGCGAAAGCGAGGAGACGGCAGCGCGATCGGCACCGCTTGCTCCCCTGACCTCGTGCCACCAGCCCCAGACAGGCGCGCGCGAGTGGAGCGGCGCGACAGCCGAGGTGCGGGGTGGCGGGCTCCGCTGGCGCAGCGCCCTCCCGCGGCGGCCGCTCGACGGACGCACGACGCGCAGAGGAGGCGCCCATGCCCGCCGCCTGTCGCTGCGTCGCCCCCCGCTGCCCTCCCCCCGCCCTCCCACCGATGCAGATCGCGATGTAGTCGGCGTTGCCTCTTCCAGTGCTGCTGCGCGCCCCCGCACCTCCTCCCTGCCGCGCACTGGAGTGGGGCCCGAGGGCAAAAGGGGGTCCTGAAGACCGCACGGAGCCTCCCTGGATGCCCGGGCTCGGGGGCGGCCTTCGGAAGCGGGCGCGTCGGCTCGAGGCCCCAGGGAAGCCCCGAGGTTCAGGGCCCATGTCCTCACAAGGCCGCTTGTCTTCGCCGTGGCGATCCCCCTGCCCCCATGCGCGTGAGAGAGAGGGATACGGAGCCCGGACATTTGGGACTTCCCTTCGCCCGCGTTCTCGTCCCGAGTAGTTGGCATTTGGACGGCCCCAGGGGCCCCGGAAGGGCCCAAAAGCTCGGAAAGCCCAGGAGGGGCCCATTTGGGCGGAAAGCAATGCAGAAAGCTCGGAACCTTCTTCCTTCAGAACCCCTGATCTACGGCGATAAGACGAAGGCAGGACGAGGATACCATCGGGTGAGGATAAATCGAGAATCTCTGAGATCCAGCGGATCTGGAGGATGTCTCGGGCGCCGCGGCCTTCTCAGAGCGCTCTGGAACGCTCTCAGAACGTTCCGCAACGCTTTGGAACGGATGTATCCTCGGCCTGGCCCCATCCGAGGTGATCCCTCCGGAGGTCCAGCAAAAATCTTCGCGTGTCTCTGGATGCCTCGCAGCAGCCGGCCCCCCACAACCCCTGGATGCATGCGGGGGGGGGGGCCGAGAAGGGTCAAAGGCCGTCGCAGGTCCCAAGTCGCCCAAAAGCATCCCCGGTGGCGCGGTGCGGCGATGTGGCGGGCCGGGATGAGGTCCAAACACGCAAACTTCTTGCGGCACATGTGGCAGATGTACGCGTGCATCTGCCTTGGCCGAGCCGGCAGAGCGACGGCGGATCGGGAAGATTGTCTGGATCAGGATCTTCAAGATGGCCTGCCTCCAAAAAAGCAGGTTCGATAAGAAGAGGGCCGGGAGGATGCGGAGGCAGAGAAGCCGATCAAGAAAGCGAGGAGGGGGAGAGGAGGGAGGGGCGGAGGGTCCTGGCCCCCTCTCCTCTTACCTCCTGCTCCCACCCACGTCTCCCACTGCTCACCGCAAAGGACCGTTCGAGAGCGGGGCCCAAGCTGAGGGTGCACTCTGATACACCAGGCCATCTCGTACCCGGGGCGCTTCGCAACGGTTCCGTTGCCACGTCCCCCAGCTTCAACAAGCCAAACGCCTGCGTCGCAACTACGGTGTCCTGTCTCACCCTCTGCCATCGAAAACTCAATAACAACACGCACTGCGAGGAGGACCTGTTTCATTCGTAAACGACAGCTTACGGCATGACGCAAAATCTGCCACCATCCAGTCCCCCCCCCCAAAGAAGGAGAGCAGCTTCTCGATCGACAATCGATTCGCGGTCGACCAATCGAAGATCGATCCTGGATCGACGATTAATCCTCGGTCGGAATCCCAACCGATATACTGGATTGACAATCCAACGTCGATCCCCCATCCATAATCGAAGGAGGCGACGACGCTGAGACGGCAACGCGCTCGCCGGCGAGAGGAAGCCGTCAGCAGGCGTGATGGCCTCCATCTCCCGGAGGGCCGCCTCCTGCGGAGGGGTGGGGCGTCGCACGGCGCGCGCGCGCGTCAACGCCGCCGTCGGCGTGGACCGCGCAGATGTCGCACGGCGTGCGCGTCGACGACGTGGGCACCGCAGAGCGCGTGCGTCGGCCCATTCGCCTGCTAGGTGGGGGTCTGACTTTTGGAAAACAGTCGGCGAGGGGGTAGTTATGATAAGATGATGGCCAAGGCGAAGAATGTTCAAATGAATCTTCTAAGCAAACCCAGGGCATCCGCTTTGCTTGACACAGCTGCGGCCCCGAACAGTGAAACTCCCAGGGTTCTAGCAAACCTTTGCGCGGCCCCCAGAAGGCCGAGCCCCATTAGCAACGGAAAAACCGGCATCGCACGGTGCTGGGGAAACCAAAAGGTACCGGTACCGCTACTCCTCAGATCTCTCCCGGGGTGCGAAGCGAATCCAACGATGGCGACTGGGGCCTCCCAAGAGGCCCGAAGAGGGGAAAACAAGGCAAGGGTAGCGGTATGAGTACCTGTTCCTCTTCTATAGAAATTAGCAGGCGAAGGATCGACGTCGCAGGGTGCATGGCATGATAAGCGCGCCATGTCGACGACGACGACGACGACAAGCCACGACGAGGCGCGGCGCCCGCCGGAGGCCGCCTCGATGGTCGCCGACGGCGGCGCCGAGGGCTGGCCGAGCAGAAGCCGCCGGAAGGCCGCTTCGCCGAAGGCCGCCGGAAGGCCGCCGGAGGGCCGGCGGAGGGCCGCCGGATGTCGTCCGGCGGGTGGCAATGGCCGCTGGTGGCCGCCGAGAGGAAACATCGGCACCCAGCGCGGGCGTCCTCCCTGGCGCGCTCGGCGGCGGCGTCGACCACGCCCCCGCCCGCGTCCATGTGCTGCTGGGTCGCCACCAGCGCCTTCGAGAAGGGGCCCCTCTGGAGCCCGCGATGGGCCGTGACCGAGGAGGATCGGGAAGAGACATCTGCATAACATTGAGCCTGCTATAACGGTGCTCACGCCTGCTGAATTGATGCGTACATTACGCATGACAAGCGCGGCATGAGAGACGGCGGCGGCCGACAGAGGATGTAGGCAAATGAAGAAAAAGTCTTTGCATGATGTGCTCCCCCTGCCCTCTCCTGACCTGCCTCGTTCTCCTCTTCCCTCCTCTTCTTCCTAGGCCTGCCGGGCGGCGAATGGATCTGTCTGGATCTGGATCTGTCGACCTAACAATCTCAACCTGTCGGGCGGCGAATGCCATGTAGAACGTAGGGTTTTTTATCTTGCAATGACCGCTTGCTGTCATGGCTAATCGCTTTTGTATGTCATGCATCTTTCATGCCCGTTCGTTTTCGTTTCTCGTGGTCACGTCCTGTTCTGGAATGTGAATTTGTCCGGACATGAATCAAACGGTGGATTGTTGAAGCCTCGCGGGATGCTAACTAAGTAACCGTTGCGTGCTTGCATCACTGTGCATTGTCATGCTAACTACCGTGGTTCTAGACCTGTCCGCCACGGCACCTGTCGTTGCTGAGTGGTCGTTGATGAACTTGGACGGCGCTCAGGCCCCCGCCCAGAGAGGAGGGAGCGAGGCAAGCAAGACCGTGGAAAACCGGTATCACCAGCGCAGGCGCGAAGAGCAACTGGGGGTCCTGGTGGTGATGTGATCGCCCCCCTCTCATTCGAGGCATCCCCTCGATCCAGAGAGCTGAACATCCACCCTCGTGACCATCACCCCGACCGGCGAAGCCAGGGAGAAACGCACCCAAGGAAAGGAATCGAACAGGGCAGGGGCTGTTCGGTAAACGCCCAGGGCCGTCTGGCAGACGCCGATCCCTCGGGAGTCGGGGCGGTCTTTCCCCCCTGGACGATCTCGTCTCGGGGAGGCATCCCCCCTCTGTCTTTGACGATCCCGGCGGTCTTTCCCCCCTTCACGATCCCAGCTCGGGGAGCTTTCCCCCCTTGACGATCCCGGCGGTCTTTTCCCCCCTTGACGGTCCCGGCTCGCTGGCGGTCGCACCCCCCGCGGTGGCGGTGTCGCTCCTCCACCCTCCGCGGGAGGGCGGGCGAGGGGCGAGGAGCGAGGGCGGGAGGAGGGCGGCGGGCTCCCGTCCCCCCAGGCAGCGTGGCGGGCGGGAGGGGCGAGGGGGGGGGGGGCTCCGTGGCCGCCAGCGACAGCCACGTCGTCGGGTCGCCGCTCGCCGCGGCCGTCGCGCCTTCCGTCGCGGGCGCGCGCGCGAGCGCGCGAGGTTGGCAGGAAGGACGAGGAGGACGACCAGGAGGGGGAGGCAGAGGAAGGGGGGAAGGACGACCAGGGGGGACGCAGGAGGAGGCACACGACGACGACGAGGGCAGGCAGGAGGAGACACACGACGAGGACGCGGCGGTGAGCTGTTGCTCTGTCTCTCGCCCATTCAGCCCATGCGTCAGCGCCCGCGGACGAAGAGGAGGACGGCGGTAATGGGAAGGAGGGGTGGCGAGTAAGCAATGTGGTGCAATTTAGTTGTGCCTCTTGGGAGCCCAGCGAGCGTACACGATGTGGTGCAATATATGTGGTGCAGCCGTACCCGCGCGTGACGACCTCCAATGTGTTTCAAACCATGTGGTGAACTCTATCTGCACACCGCACACCCAACAAAACATCCAGCACACGAGGCGCCAACGGGCGACTACCAGCCGCAGGCCAAGAATACCCAGCCAGTGCACCCAGCGGCCACCAGGCGCCCACAGGCAACGACCAGCCACACAAAAAACAGCAAAGCCCAATACATTAAGTAGTCATGGAAACCTGTCACTGTGCTGAAGGCGCTGATTGGAGTGTCATCAGGTCCCTTCGGTTCCTCCGGTTGAATATTGTGTGACTCGTCTAAGGGGCCCAGGCCCCCGAACTGACAGAACTTCCAGGCGTGTCGCGTGACGCTTGGGGCTGGTCGCGTGAACGTCCCAGAGGCCACAGCGCGCAAAAACGGCCACAGAGGCTCCCAAGAGGCCCCAACAACGGACCAAATTAGCGGCATGCCCTGTTGGCCGCCCTGTGGGCGATCTCCGAGGCCTTGGGGGACGGCCCAAGAGGCCACCATCATGGAACAACTGCAAGTGCGTGTAGACCTTGATCGTGCTCGGCGTCTCGTTCTGAAGAGCGCCCCGGGCGGCCCAGCAGGCACCCACGATCGCTCCAAGACGGCGCAAAAAACTCCCAATATGTCCAAGAGGCCCCCACGCGATACAAATACGGAGCTCGAGGACCCCCGGAGATCCCCTGGAGGCCTTAATTAAACCTCCAAGAGACAACCGCACCATAAGAATAGCCTGAGTGCACACACTGTTTAAAATTACCCTGGCGAAAGACCCAACCATATGCAGTTGTGGGCACCGCAATTGTGAAAACCTTCTTCGGTGAAACTCCCTATGGGGCCACGAAGCGCTGCACTGGGTGGAGGGGAACGCTGTTCTGGGTGAGTGGTGTGTCAAGGAAGGTTTCCGGGACGCATGCGGACGGTCCCACCGGGGGCTTCGGTGGAGCTCCTTATGGGGCCACGAAGCGTTGTAATGGGTGGGTGAAAATGCCAAATTGGGTTTCCGGGGCGCACGCGGACGGTCCCATTGGAGGCTTCGGTGGAACTCCTATGGGGCCACGAAACGCTGTACTGGGTGGGTGAAAATGCCACGTTGGGTTTTCGGGACGCACGCAGACGGTCCCACTGGGGGCTTCGGTGGAGCTCACTAAGGGGCCACGAAGCGCTGTATTGGGTGGGTATAAAAATGTCACGTTGGGCTTCCGGGACGCATGCGGACGGTGGCACTGGGGCCTTCGGTGGAGCTCCCTACGGGGCCACGAAATTTTGGACTGGGTGAAAGAAAATGCCACAATGAATGTTTCGGGACGCTTGCGGACGGTCCCACTGGGGCCCTCGGTGGAGCTCCCTGTGGGGCCAGGAAACGCTGCACTGGGTGGGTGAAAATGCCACATTGGGTGTGCGGGACGCATGCGACGGTGGCACTGGAGCCTTCGGTGGAGCTCCCTGTGGGGCCACGAAACGCTGTAATGGGTGACTGGAAATGGAAAATTGGGCGTTTCAGGACGCACCCGGACGGTCCCACTCGGATTCGGTGGAGCTCCCCATGTGGCCACGAAGCGCTGTACTGAGTGGGGGGGGCGCATGTGGACGGTAGCGCTGTGACCTTCGGTGGGGCTCCCTGTGGGGCCACGAAGCGCTGCACTGAGTGGGGGGGGCGCATGTGGACGGTGGCACTGGGGCCTTCGGTGGAGCTCCCTATGGGGCCACGAAGCGCTGTACTGAGTGGGGGGGACGCATGTGGACGGTGGCGCTGGGGCCTTCGGTCGAGCTCCCAATGGGGCCACGCAGCGCTGTATTGAGTGGGGGGACGCATGTGGACGGTGGCACTGGAACCTTCGGTGGAGCTCCCAATGGGGCCACGAAGCGCTGTATTGAGTGGGGGGGCCGCATGTGGACGCTGGCACTGGGGCCTTCGGTGGAGCTCCCTATGGGGCCACGACGCGCTGTACTGAGTGGGGGGGACGCATGTGGACGGTGGCACTGGGGCCTTCGGTGGAGCTCCCTATGTGGCCGAAACGCTGTACTGAGTGGGGGGGGTGCATGTGGACGGTGGCACTGGGGCCTTCGGTGGAGCTCCCTATGGGGCCACGAAGCGCTGTACTGAGTGGGGGGGGCGCATGTGGACGGTGGCACTGGGGCCTTCGGTGGAGCTCCCTATGGGGGCAACGAAACGCTGTACTGATGGGGGGGGACGCATGTGGACGGTGGCACTGGGGCTTCGGTGGAGCTCCCTATGGGGCCACGAAGCGCTGTACTGAGTGGGGGGGACGCATGTGGACGGTGGCACTGGGGCCTTCGGTGGAGCTCCCTAATGGGGCCACGAAACGCTGTACTGAGTGGGGGGGACGCATGTGGACGGTGGCACTGGGGCCTTCGGTGGAGCTCCTATGGGGCCACGAAGCGCTGTACTGAGTGGGGGGGACGCATGTGGACGGTGGCACTGGGGCCTTCGGTGGAGCTCCCCTATGGGGCCACGAAGCGCTGTACTGAGTGGGGGGGACGCATGTGGACGGTGGCACCGGGGCCTTCGGTGGAGCTCCTGATGTGGCCACGAAACGCTGTACTGAATGGGGGGGGGACGCATGTGGACGGTG